CTGTATTATCGCAACAGGAAGCTAATGGTAGCGCTGGCGCCCTCTACTGGACGGTGACCGGGTGGGGTTAGAGGTGACAGTCGTTTCAATAAAATGCTCAGTAATTGCTGCCATATCAATCTAGATGTGACAAAAAACGTAAAAAAATACGTATGCTTATTACAACAAGTGATAAAATGGTCAGGTTTTTCTGTTGGTGGATGCGTGTATTGTTTGGTGATCAAGAAGCATTCAGTTTTCGCACATTTACAGTGTCAGTTAAATGTTGAATTTCGTGGAGCTTATTGAGAAGCCTTTTGTGATTGCTCAAAATGCCTAGAGTGCGTAGGCTCTTGAATTTGCAACAGCCTCCACAGACTTAGCAGCTTTACTCACAAAGTGGCAGTATCCTGGAGTGAGATACCTCAACAGGATATCGACCATCTCATCAGCACGACGTCCAGGCGTGTCAATGGGTGTATATGAAATCGTGGATCCTCAACACATTAATGAACCAGCTTCTGCAGTCAGTTGACGAGTCAAGCTGAAAATTTAATTATTTTACTAGTAACGGACACTGAACATATATATCCCAAAACACTGATCAACAGCCAAAAAATATCCTAAATAAAATCAACAAAATATTACTATTTTTAATGTGCTAAAACCGGAATGAAACTTATTTTTTCAATATTAGTTCAAGTTTTAGAAATACGGTAATTATATGTGTTCCTGCTGTGACAGTGTTAATATACTGTAATTCACAAGAATGCATCTGCTACATTTTTATATTCGGCAATGAAAGATGATGTAATCGGCATGATTGTGTTACGTTATACATACGTGTACATTATATTGTTTTATATTAGCCATTTTTTTCTCAGTTGGCTGACAGCGTTTATGCAAGATGTCTCGAAAGTGTGTAAACAATCCAGATCAGTTTTGTTACGTGTGTGGTGATGTGACTTTTGCGTCTCAGAGACGGTCTATTACTCCACTAATAACAAAGGCATATCAGCTTTATTTCGGTTGTAAACTAGGTGATCAAGACAAACAGTGGGCACCCCACATCTGCTGTAATACATGTGCTTCAAGTCTGAGGAGCTGGTTAAATGGCAGAAAACGGTCTATGCGCTTTGCTTTCCCAATGGTTTGGAGAGAGCCTACAAATCATATTAATGATTGTTACTTTTGCATGGTACCTTGTGTTGGACAAGCTATAGGTATGTCCAAGAAAAAAAATCGGTTATTAACTACCCAAACATACCATCTGCGATGAGACCTGTGCCTCACAGTGACGAAAATCCTATTCCAAAACCCCCAGAATCCTACACTTGCGAATCAGAAAACGAATCAGATCATGGCGATCGACTGATTCGTCAGGAAGAAGATATGCCATCAACGTCAAGAGATCCTGATTTTATACCGAGCACATCATGCCACCAACTGCACAAAATAACACAGTCAGAATTAAATGTTTCTTGTAAGAGATTTAGAACTTCCAAAATATAAGGCAGAGTTACTTGGATCAAGACTGCAGCAGTGGAACTTGTTAGAAGACGATGTTTCGGTATGTGTTTTTCGTAAACGCCACAAAGACTTAGAACCATTTTTCAATATGGAGAATAACTTGGTTTTCTGCAGTAACATTAACGGCTTACTGGCGGCTTTAAATATAAACTATAACCCAGAAGAATGGAGATTGTTTATAGACAGTTCAACATTGAGTTTAAAGGCAGTGTTATTGCATATTGGAAATATTTTACCATCTCTTCCTGTAGGGTATGCAGTTCACATGAAAGAATCATATGACAATATGAAGTACCTATTGACATGCATAAAATACGATGAGCACCAATGGCATATTTGTGGCGATTTGAAAGTTGTTGCACTTTTACGTGGGCTGCAGCTAGGCTACACAAAGTTTTGCTGTTTTTTGTGTGAATGGGACAGTCGGGCAAAGGCACTTCATTACACCAGACAAAACTGGCCTGTTCGTCAATTCCTAGAGCCAGGTGAAAAAAATGTACAGCATACGCCAGTAGATTCGAAAAAAAATTTATTACCACCACTGCATATCAAGTTGGGCCTAATGAAAAACTTTGTCAAGGCATTAGGTAGAGATGGGTCAGCTTTTCAATACCTGCGTCAGAAATTTCCAAGACTAAGTGAGGCAAAGGTTAAAGAAGGTATTTTTGTTGGGCCACAGATTCGAAATATTTTGAAAGATACACAGTTTGAAAACACTTTAACAGGTACTGAAAAAACTGCTTGGAATGATTTCCGTCTGGTGGTCACTAATTTCTTGGGAAATAGAAAAGCTGACAACTATAAAACCCTTGTCAAAAATATGCTGTCATCGTATCAAAAGATGGGCTGTAATATGTCTCTTAAGATACATTTCCTACACTCACACCTGGACTTTTTTTCCTGAAAATTGCGGAGCCGTAAGTGATGAGCACGGCGAACGTTTTCATCAGGATATTTCAACAATGGAAAAAAGGTTCCAGGGAAAGTGGAATCCTTCCATGCTTGCAGACTACTGTTGGACTCTTGGTAAAGATACTCCAGAAACGATCCATAAAAGAACAGCAAAAAGACAGCGCATATAGTGATTCTTATAAGTATATGAATCTTGTTACTTTTTTTAATATATGCTTAAAAATAAAAAGTTTTTTTTCTAAACCGCAACTAATTTTTTTTATTTCATTGTCATTTTTGGATTCAGCGCCCCAAAATTAACAAAGAAGTGCACTTTTCCCACAAGATACAATTAAAAAACTAAAATTTGTTGTCCAGTGAAATTATTAAAATCGGATAAACATACGCAGGTGTTTACCTTTTTTTGTCACTCTATATATCATATCAGGTTGATTCAAGTTTCGAGCATACAATATGAATATCTGTCCCGCTCGAGTTCTTATACGTCACTAGTCTATTTTTACACTTTTGACAACCTGCAGACGCTCCTCCTTCCTCATCACCACTGAAAGGGTATTCTGCGATCTAATCTGCAAAACCGATTAGCTTCTTGGGCTACTATTAGTAGCGTGCATGGCTGCCAGTTATACATGTATTTTGGCTTAGCTCTGAGAGACAACGGCAGAGAGTTGAGCTACCCATGAGGATACTAGTAGGAGCTCCTTAGCTAACAAATCCTACACAAGCATTTTGGTCAACGCACTCTGAGACTTTAGCTGCATACTTTTCTTATGCTACTATTGCGTATCTTGTTTCGCAGAAGGAACACCCATGACGGTTACTGAAAAAAACCCGTAAGTCTAAATCCGTGCGGCCGCCATCAGGCTGCTCAGTCGCCGGCATTTTAATGCGGCAATAATGAAGATATCGCCACCTACGAGGCGGTCTGTTTGTCGGTCAATCGTAACTTTCCATCATCCAAAAATATACTGCGTATCGTTGTATTTTATAGGTTTAGCGCTTGCTGCGTGTGTGAGAATTCGGATTCGAGGAACGTGAAGCTCGTCCGCCACCGCCAAACATCAAATCGATGGTCATGTTCATGGCCGCCAGGATTAAAAGAAGACGGCTAGACGGTCAGCAGTTCTTTGAATCAGGATTGCTCGTCGAAGCTTAGCATATGGATTAAAACCGTTTCACAGTCCACAAGACCAATGTATGCATGCTGTTACAGTTGCAAGACGGCAGTGCTTTGAAGCAGGATTCCTCAAGGAAGCTTTGCATATGGGTTAAAACCGTTTTACGATCTACCAGACCGTTGCATACAAGCTCTTGCGGCTGGAGACGGCATTGTTTTGCCTGCAAAGACAATTCGCACCCCTGCTACAAAACTGACACAACTCCAAAAATATTTTTGGCAAAGCGAAGAATATCTCACTCCAAATATTTTTTTTAAAATATATTTATTCGGATAAATAATGCAAGTTCTAGAAAGACTTAAATTACATCATATTCCCCATTCTAGGCTGGTATGCTTTAAAAAAGCTATTTTTCTTTATTTTCTAAAACGACAGTTGAGCACCAAAATATTTGCGACACTTTTGTTGTTCAGACTAATGCGGAACAATAGACAAGAAATTTGAGTTGTCACAGTTCTTGCTTGAAAATAAATCGCCAACGTTATACTCTAAAATTGGAATTAAATACTGATAAAGTATTCCTATTTTTTAAAGAAAAGCAAGAAAATAAGGATAAGTAGTAAATGCATTACAAAGGAATTATAATAAATGAGGCTGATATGCTTGCAGGAATGCTAACGTAACTTTCAGTCTTTACTGGTAAGTTCGTCACGTCTAATTTTAAATAAGAGAAGAGAAGTTGTTACACTTTTTGCTTAAAAATAAATCGCCATGATTGTACTGTGAATGTTTTAATATAGGTACCAAATTTATCAAGGATACAATAAATCAAGTTTTTTTGAGGAAGAGTATAAAAATGAGGAAAAGTAACAGCTCAGCATACAAAAAATCAGAACAAGGAAGGCTGGAGGCTTGCAGTTAAATTAAAATAATTTTCAGTGTTGATAACTTGTAATTTCTTTATAAGATTTGAGCTGAACTAAATCCTAAGTATGTCATATATTTGTAAGAATACCCTTATCAGCTAGTTCTTGTAGTTGTTATTTTTTTATACCACCCTGTGGGAATCTATTGCTTGAACTAAGCTAGCAAAATCTGCATTATGCTTTTGAGACCTAGTGTGTTTTTACATTATTCATGTCGAGTTTTTTTAATTCGAAATGTTCATAGGAGGTTTTATAAAAAAAATAATCCGCGTATACTTTGCATACTTTCCCCTTTTTCACTATCTGTCGTAAAGTTTTTTCGCCACTGCTCTTGTAACGCTTTCAAACCGTAGAAATTTTCAAAGATACGCTGGTGGGCTCTGTAAGTTGGACCACCTTATTTTGGCTTTTGAATTAGTGTTTCATACTCGTCGGGCTCGTAAATCGGTCAAGATTTGGGATATTTCATAATCTGCGTTTCAATGATGCTATGTAGGTATTCGCTTGTCCATAATTTGTTAACAATTTAGCTTTTTTAGTAGGCCAGATACCAGATTTTTGTTTTCTTTTTTGCATTTTCTTTCTGCTCGTCATTCATTAAGATGATAACTGTTCGTTGAACTTTTGTAAGTAGCGGGATGCTTCTTGATGAAATCTGGATCTGCATCTGAATCATCCACGTCGCTCTGATCACCACGTATTTCTTTCTTAGATGCACAACTGTAGAACGATCTATATTACAAAACATTGTGTAAAACTTGCTACATCTAGGCTGAGGCCTATTGCTTCTAGCTTTTTCCAAAGTATTATCTGAAGCAAAATTTTCTTGAGTTCTGTTCTCCATAGTGGGGTTTTCTTGAGATAGATACAATTCTGCATATATACGCTGGTAATTAGCAATGCTACAGCTTTCACCATCTAAAATTGAATCGTATCATCTATAATGGCTATTGGTTGTTGGAGGTGTTTTGGCTTGTATGATCGAATGTAAAAGCAACTCATTCAATTGAGAATCAATTTCAGCATCAAGAGGTTCTGATACCTTTTACTGATTCTGGCGGATATTAACTGGACTTCTAAAAAATTGAATTGTTAGGAAAATGTGGACAAACTTGTGTTTCACTGTGAAAAACTAAAAACGTTAGTAAAAAAATAATTCAAACATATTATGTGTCATTTGGTCAGACAATCATGAACCCTAAAAACAGATGAATCCCAAGATTAAAAGGTATCGTGAGAGAGATCGTCATACCCTAAAACGAACTATCTAGGGCTAGGGGCTTAAACCATCCCTTAATATATTGATAGTTGAGAAAACTTGACGGACCTGCATAGAAATTATGCATAAAAGGGGAAACGGTCAACTTCAATATGAAAATTGCTATCTTTGGGTGCTATGCTCGATTTTCCCATTTAAGTCTGAATCATTCACAGGTACATGTTCAACGTAAGGATAAGAAGCTGCATATTTTCTCTTAAATAAATGTCAAACTACTTTTCAAATATTTATAATTTTCAATAAGTTTTTCTAGTTAATCCGCTAGTATATCGTCGTGAGTTGTTACAACAAAAGTGACATAAACCAAAACGCATTACAACAAAAGTGACCTAAATCAAATTATAATTTGAACATTCTTTTATTTTTAGCAACTAAAGCGACAAGTAAAACAAATTTTACATAGATTTATTCCATTAAGCTGACTTAATTCTAAATTTTATAAGAATTATAATCACCGTTATTCATCTAAAGCGACACAATTCAAAGTAAGATGGTTTAAATGCGTCAGTGTAGAACCTTTACTGCACTAAGGACAGGGTACAACTGAAAATATTTCTGTTTAGTGGAAGATACTAATACACGCTGAATCTGCAAAAGTGACACATATGCCATCTGGCGGCAATGGACAACGTTAATTTGCTACGCTTTTGGTGGAAGGTAAACCTTAACTACCGCATGTAATTGCAAATAATAACTGAAAATCCACACTTTTTGAGTTGTGTAATTTTTGTAGCGAGGGTGCGGATTGCATCTAAGGTCATTTTCGTGGCCGCCAGGATTGAAAGAAGACGGCTAGCTGGCGAGAAGTTCTTTGGAGCATGATTGCAGGAGGAAGCTTTGCATATGGATTAAAACCGTTTTACAGTCCACCAGACCATTGCATGCAAGCTCTTGCAGTCGCAAAATGGCGTTGTTTTGTCTGCAAGACAACTGCATCCAATCACTCGCAGTTGCAAGAAGGCCCTGTTTTCTCGATTCAAAATAACAAGGTTGGCCAAACCTAAACAAATGAAATATTTTCTATCATATTCCGAACCGATAATTTTGGTTTGTTTTTTTTACCCGTCAGAACATCGTTTTATCATCCTAAAACTAAACAATAGAATATAACCACACAAACCACTGGACTGGCCTAGAGACATGGTGACTGCATTATTAACTTGCAAGTTACTAAATATTCCACCACAAATTTACATGAAAAATCCAGTTGAGTAAGTTTCATGCAAGATCCGGCAAGATTTCTCTTGCATCTTGCTGACTGTAAGAAGGGTATATGAATCAGCTGATATGCCTGCCTTTTGCGGCAGCCGTATTACGTTACTTGAAAAGTGACACTATAACGATTTTTTTGACATTATCTAGGTTTTTTTGAGATGCAGGTGACCCGATAGTATTTCATACTTAAACTAGATGAAATTCACTTCATGCTCACTTGTAGTAAGAGTAGAATGTACTAGCGGTATAAGTTGACATTTTACCAATTTTTTGATATTATGTAGGTTTTTTAAGTGACAGCACTGCTGATAGAGATGGGGCAATATAAATTACATAGAGAAAAACCTTAAATATCATTGAATTGATACAAACACTATTTTTGTTCTGTTTATAATAAAACAAGTTTTCCAGTCTTCAGTTTTACCTGAATCGTCTAATTATATTGCTTTTCGGCATACTCGTCCCAGGGATAGTATTTAGTACTGTTTGGTGTGTTCGCTGTTTCTCCCGAAATAAATATGATCAGTAACTTATTAACATAAACAAATAAATATATAATTGACTATTCTAAAGTAGCACTATTAGTCTTCTAAGGGTTTTGGCTTCATTCATCCAGAACTGGCCGATATGACCGCTCCTTTGTCCCTAGGGTATCGAGATTGTGAAACAATCTTTTGGAGCCTCATAGCAGCCGCGGTGAACTGGCATTTAGGCTACTCCCTATGCAGCTATTTCGGTGTAAAAAACCTTTGTTGATCTTCTATAAAACATGCCTGGAGATACAAATGCAATGTCAACGGTCTGTCCTTGTATAGAAGTATTTTCAGAAAATGGATGAAAACAACGGTTCTCTAACACCCAATCCATAGGTATGTGCAGGAAAGAGTAGCAGGTGCGATATGGATTTGTGTGCGTAGTGTGGCAAGTTAAGCTGTACACATGGTACCATTAATAAATAATATATATATACATATAATTCTCTTCTCACGATTTATTAATAATTTTTAATTTAAAATTCCCATTAATTAAAATATAGTTTATTCAACTGCCTCTGGTCGGTTTAACAATTTCTTACATAACATTCTGAAAATCACATCATCTGAAGTGATTTGGCAACGTTTTGGCACACGCCCACAATTCGTTCCATCTTTCAACACAGACATTGACAACCTTCGGCCTTCTGTCAAAGGTTCATCTCACTCATTATTCCACCATATGACCACCATTTTGTGCAATCATCAAGTGGCTTCACGACGTAATGCTCTAATGTTTTCTAAATAATTTTTAATCTGTCTTCAACTTGTCTTGTCTTATATTTTAACCATTGTACCATGTATCCAGCTCTCACCATGTTACTGGACGTTTCCCTCATCCTATACGAAAACAACAATTAGCAACATCCTCACATACTACTGTAAGTTGATTCAATTTAAATTCATTTTACACTTTTGTTGCTACTGTTATCATTGTAATTGCAGCTCCTGATGATGATGGCAAAGTCCATTGAAAGCTAGAGAGGATTAAAGAAAGTATAAAGAGTCCTCTTTGCTTAAATTTTGTCGAAGTACCCAACAAAAGGCGGAAGCTTTAATTTTTCACCTAACTGGTCTAGACGACAATGACCACGTCTCAAGTTATATATATATATATATATATATATATATAGGTGAAAAATTAAAGCTTCCGCCTTTTGTTGGGTACTTCGACAAAAATTTTAAGCAAAGAAGACTCTTTATACTGTTTTTATTCTCTGTAGCTTTCAATGGACTTTGCCATCATCATCAGACGACAATGACCACGTCTCAAGTTATATATATATATATATATATATATAACAACAAGTAGGAAAATGATCATATTCTCTTTATATATATATATATATATATATATATATATATATCTAATAATTCGTGTAATCACTTGTACAAGTCGGGCTGGCTCAAGTACGTCTGTGGATGGTCTCGGCAGATTTTTGCAAATCTATTTTTGTATTTCGAAATGTAGTTTGTCATTGTTTTCAGCAAATGTCAAGCCTCGTTTTATTTTTATTTTTTTGGGTTATAACGAAAGAAGCCAAAGAGAGAATGTTTATGTAATCACTCTGTATCACTCTTCAAAGTTTTACTGCATCCAAAAAATTTGCACAAGTATACTCGTCAAATATACACTTATGTGTGCAGCTACAAGTCCTTCATGTGTAGTCGTACAAAAACCTTATACAAGCAAAATTGTCAACTATAGGATGTATACGTAAATGTCAAAACACTTGTGTACGGCTCACGTGCTCACCCAAAGGAAAATATACTTTATTTTGTACGAAAGAAACGTAGTATCAGCTAATTATTGGTATCGGCGAACAGTCTGTATTGGCTGGTCTCTAATACCGATGACGAATTACAAAGTAAATACAGGTATACCTCAGGGATCAGTTTCCTGTCCTAATCATGTTTCCACTCTTTATCAATGACGTCTTCGGTAGAATGATCTGGAATAACATTTTAAATAAGTATCCAGTTCTAGTAAAAGCTAAGCACTGCTAGAAACACTTTCTTTCAATTTAGGCTTGCCGCTACCTATCATGACGAAATGCTGTGATGCATTTCCTTAAGATGCATGGCGAACGATTGAGGAGTTTTGTTCAAAATACTGTGTTTTGGAAAGCCTTACCAAACTTGAGGAGGTATTTAACGAGCAGTTCTGTCAGAGAGAGGCTGTGAAAGTTTGTTTAAAAAATTTAGGGCTCACAGCAAGGAAGTTTTTGATTGACTATATGTGTCTGACAAACTAGCTCAGTCTCTATCGTATCAACAAGCGGTTGATGTTATGTGAATCAGCGTGCAACGCTTTTGCAGTCTAAATATGTATGATATAAAATTTGTAATGTGTTACGTTTTTCAATTTGCAATATTTTTTTCGTTATCAGAGTTAAAGTTATATAACTGCAATTAATAATGTGAAAAATAACTACACCAATTATTCTCATAAACCATATTACAGTTTATAATTTTCATTCAACTATAATCTTAAGCTTCTCAGAAACAGTTAGTCTGCTTATATGATCATGACCACTCCAAACTAGCTGATCTTAAATGTTTATATCTATGATAATTGGACCGCGCCTTAAAGCATCGATATATTAATTAGTATTCGACGTTCTGCAAGTACCTGTACTGATCTTTGTGACAGATTTGATTGTCGCGATCATTCCATTTTTATCAGTCATACATCAATATCGTTGTATCATCCACGTACACGAACAGCCTACCATGCTTTATGTAGCTTTGAAAATCTTAAAAGTATCCCCAGGTAACAAATGCTATTATTATAATGGTAGATCATTCAGGTGAAGCAATAATAGCAATGGACCCAGGATACTTCCCTGCGGGACACCTTATTCCCCTAGACAGAGGTTGATGAACAAAACTGTAAAGGACGTGTTTGCTTTCCGTCTCCTGTAACTATGACCAACCGCAGTCGGGGCTGTTTTGAGCTTATTAGCATCAGTGCGGTATAGGTCTTGGAAACAAACGGAATGGAAAGCAATCCTGTGGGTATGGTCTTTTGAAAAACTCAAGACATTGCGCACAAGTAGGTGAAAAATCTGACGGTAGCCACCTACCGTGAATAACGCAACAACAATGTTTCTGGCATCAATGTTGTCATATATTGTTGCACTTCTAATCGTTACTATATTGGGTAGGGGTGATTATTATATTGTAAAATAAAGCTCTTCTATGTACATTGAACTGCTGATTCTATTATTTTTGAGATAGGATAATTTTCATCAAGTAACTTTTTCTCTTCCAGCTTCAGGTTACATATTTTCCAAATCTGAGAAGCATCTGCAGAGGGCTGGAAGTGCTGTAGTCTTAGCTGAGCTCTCATAACTTTCTCCCACTGTACGAGTATATGGATCACCGACTTATGGTTATTTATACGCAGATAAAATTGCAACACTCCACACATACCATTTTCTTCAGCGCATAACGATTTTTTCTAATTTACTGCCTACATAAATGCTCGCCCATTTCTACTCTGCGCTGTGAGTACTTAGTATCTATCTCAATACCTTCCAATAAATATGTTCGCTGAGCGTTATCTTGCCTCCACTTATTTTCTATTAAATATATCCCTTGCGGCCGTATGCTGTTATCAAGTGGGATTTTTCCAAACGAGTTTAATGCAGGGCGTTCACTTTTCCATGCAAGTATGGTGGAAAGATCCCATAAGTGGTTATCTACAACTCGTTTCAAATAACTTCGCACAAAAACAACGGAAAATTATCCTTGATATACCGGAGTGATCTAATCTGGGATTAGCCGTTAGACTCGGCTGATCGAAATTTTGGAAAAATCAGTAAAATCGGGACGAATTTAGAAGTCTTGCAAAGGAAGATGGGCAAAATACAGGCCAAAATACATGATTTATATTTCTCGAGGCAAAAAGGTCTTTTTACGTAAAATGAGGAATGACATCGCCATTTTTCCAACTCATTGTCGGTTTGGACTTTTAGGATGTGTCGCTAGAATTGCTATAGCATACAGAAATTGGGGTATATCGAATCATATCGGCATAACCAAATACAGTGAAATTCATTTACTTCTTCGGTCTTGGCTTTCAGTGTACGAGAGAGAGAGAGAGAGACAGAGAGAGATAGAGAGAACCGTGCAACATCAGGCAACAAAGTGCGCCCTCTAAGCGTCGTCATCACATTGAGACAAGAGCCCCATTTAAAAAATTCAGGACTTTTGTATCAAGTAATCCGTTGAATTAGGAAACTGCGAAAAGCTAGTACGATGTTTTGTATCGCCTGAGCTCTTGTGGCTCTCATGAAGAAAAATAGAGGCATTTGAAATGTGTATGTATCGAAGAATATTCAAAAGTCGCACAATATACTGAGTTTTTAAATGACCATATCAGCTTATTTGCTTTCCGTCTGAATGTCTCCAACGAATATATATCGTTCTCATGGCTGCTAATGAGCGTGAAACAATGTTGTATGCGGTGATTGATATCGAAAGAAATTTCGAAAATGAGGTATTCTGTTTTTTGGTTGTTAAATGTCACGAAAAACCATGTCACTCATTTCGGTCGGTCTGTTAGTTTGTGTATCGCAGTTTTTAATGTTAGTATATTAATACGCTTCCAGCTCCGGCAACTGCTTATTAGGCCCTTTTGATATATCATATATATCTCCGTACATTTTCCCTTAAAACTTAAAGAAATAGATATTACAGACGCGAATCGTATCTCGGTCGCGGGTTTCCTTCCTTCGTGCAGCAAACCCTATCTGCGTATGACTACATCGCTGGCCCTCTCGATGTCGAGTTTTAGTAACGTTGCTAGATTCGTCGCAAGAAAAACGAGGCGGCAGGTGATGCGATATGCATATATGCGAGGTGGACTCGATATTATCATATATACGACCATTTTGCTTGTACTATAATTTTATGAGGTTACTTAATTTTGCGAGGTAATCTTGTATATCAAGAGAAGTTATAGTAGTTCTTGCGATTATGCAGCATCGACTACTGGGTCATTAGCTGCCTGTCGTTGTGTGATTCAATTTTGGCTGAGTATAATTAGAGTTTCCAGTAAAAGCCCGTGCATTTCAGAAACGATATCGTGTTTTTTATTAAATCAGGCTTTTTCAGATTTTCTGCGAAATCTCTTGACAGACCAAAACTGTTTCTAAGGTTGCTTAACGCTGGACATTCTATCATAATATGCATTGCAGTTAATCGTGCCTCGCATGACGGACAATTTGGATGGCCTTGGCCAGAGAGTAAGTAGGAATGTGTCAATGCTGTGTGGCCCAAACGCAGTCTATGTATCCGGACGGCTTCTTCTCTACTCATCTTGACGTTAGGTGTCCATTTTGTTACATCAGGTTTTATTGTTCTTAGCTGAGTAAGTTCATTGTTCCACTGTCTTTGCCATGCTTCTGTTATGCATTGTCTAATTTTCATTTTCAAGTCTGGTGCTTTCACTATTGTACAGTCAATTCCAGTTGCGGCAGCAGCCTGCCTTGCAGATTGATCTGCCAGTTCATTTCCTAGTATACCTACGTGTCCTGGTACCCATATAAAGACTACCCTCTTGTCGCCATCCATCAACACCTTTAATGTCTGAAGGCATGCTAAGATTAACGGATCACGGGAATAACGATTTGACATAGCGTTTAGGGTGCTCAAAGAATCGCTGACTATAAGAGTAAGGTTGCTTTTTGACTCTATCTGGCAGTATTTAAGCGCCTGTAAAATTGCATACTGTTCGGCTGTGAAAATCGATGTCATTGGTGGGAGAGTCCATAAATGGGCTACCCCGTTTATGATAATCGAGCAACCAACTCCTGAGGCAGTTTTCGAACCGTCTGTGTAGATGGTTTCGGCACATGTGTACTGTTCCAGGATACCTTGAAAATGAGACCTCAGTTGTACTGTTGGTGTTTCCTTTTTGTGAAATTTAGTTAGCTCCGTGTTAACTTGTGCAGATGGGATCTGCCAAGGTGGGGCTTCATTTTTGAGTGGATATACTGGTATTTTAGTCAAATTTAGCTCTCGAGATATTTCACAAATTCTCACACTGAGGGGTCTTGTGATAGTAGGCCTTCTATTATAGGTTTCATCATACGTACTTAACAGAGAGAAATTCCGATGATGTGGCGTAGCAGATGTACTGACTTCGTATGAGAGTATGAGTCTTTTTCTCCTTAGAGTTAATGGCTCGACGGCTGCTTCAGCGCAAAGGCTAGCTGCTCTCGTTGTACGGAATGCTCCAAGGCAGTACCGCAGTCCTAGGTTTTGGATAGTATTTAACTTATTGAGTGCAGTACGTCGAGCGGATGAGTACACAATGCATCCGTAGTCGATTTTTGATAGAACCAAGGACTTGTATATTTTTATTAGAACCTCTGTATCAGCTCCCCACCGGGTAGAACTCAGACACTTAATAACATTCAACGTTGACTTACACCTATAGATTAATTCTGCAATATGACATTTCCACGTTAACTTTGAGTCAAATATCAATCCCAAAAATCTCATAGATGTTTCGTTGGGAATTAACAGGCCTTGTAGATAAAGTAGTGGCCCATCATGCTGACGTTGGAGTCTGCAGAAATGTACGCACTTTGTTTTGGTATTTGACAATGTGAAACCACTGTTTATGGCATTTTGGCTTATTTTGTTTATTGCTGTCTGCAAGTTACCAGAAATCTCTTCAATGGAAGGGCCTGATGATAGTATACACAAATCGTCAACGTATAGACATCTGTCCACCACCGGATTTATGGACTCGGCAAGTTTATTAATAGCAATTGCAAAAAGCGTACAGCTAAGTGTCGATCCCTGTGGTATTCCATTTTCCAAGGTGTGGACTGTTGAAAGAGTGTTTCCTACACGTACTTGAAAACGCCTGTCTGTAAGGAAGGATTTTAAAAATTTTGGGAGATTTCCTCTAAAGCCCCAGTTGTGCAGTTGGTATAGAACATCATATCTCCAGACCATATCAAAAGCTTTTTCTATGTCAAAACACACAGCTACTGTGTGGTGACGGTTTTTAAACCCATTTTGGATGACATTCTCTACATAGACAAGTTGATCCACTGTAGACATATTTTTTCTAAATCCTGCCTGGTAATCAACAAGTAAGCCATTTTTTCAAGAAACCACGACAGGCGCTCATTTACCATTCTCTCTAATATTTTTCCGAGACAGCAAGTAAGACTTATGGGCCTATAACTTTCAGGCAAGAGTGGATCCTTTCCGTGTTTAAGAATGGGAATGACGATTGCAAGTTTCCAGTCTTTTGGGTATATTCCTGCAAGCCATATCCTGTTGTATATGTTGAGGAGAGTAAGCTTGAGATGGAGAGGGAGATGACGGATCATCTCATAATTTACCATATCCGGACCAGGAGCTGATCGATTTGTCTTTTTTAAGGCTTCTTCTAGCTCAAACAGTTGGAATGGCTCATTATACGCTAAAGATACGTCTGTTGAAAAGTCTAATGGTAATTCCCTTGCATTTTTGGTGGACCTGAACTCGCGACTATAGTTTTCCGAGCTGCTGACGGTAGAAAATTTATCTGCTAGTAAATTACAGACCTCATTTGTGCTGTTAATGATGTTGCTGTTACAGGTCCGCAGATGTGTGATTTGCCTAACTGATTGTCTACCATACACGGCTCTGACTTTATTCCATACTTCACTTGCTGTCGTTTCAGTAGTAATAGTGGAGACATATTCTCTCCATGATTTTCTCTGGCTTTCTAGAATAAGACGTCGCGCTTTAGCTCTAGCTTTCTTAAAAGATATCATGTTTGATACCGTGCAGTTCCTCTTAAAAATATTGAGTGCACGCTTTTTTGATCTCACGGCATCGGATATGTCAGAGTTCCACCATGGTAACCGACGGCCTCTTGGAGATCCACCACCAAGCGGAATGCTGTTCACCGCAGCCTGATGTATCAGCTGAGTAAAACTATGAATACCAATGTTATTATCTTGTACAGGACTCACAATTGATAAGTAGTCTTCGAATTGCTGCCAGTTTGCCTTTGACATCAACCAGTATTGTGGTACTTGGGGACTACTTCTAGCTATGTCAAAGGACGTGATACAAGGAAAATGATCACTATGATACATGTCATCTAGAGCTCTCCATTGGAGGCGATCGGCTATGGATGTTGAACTGATCGCTAGATCAATCGCAGAGAAAGATCCGGAACGAGCAGCCAGATGGGTGGACATTCCTGTATTTAGCAACATCAGATCTTCTCTGTCTAGTAAGTTTCCTATCAATTCTCCTCGGTGATCTAAACGTCCTGATCCCCACAGGGGATTATGCGCATTGAAATCTCCAATGAGCAAGAATGGTGCTGGGAGCTGAGATATAACGTTTTCGATGTCACCAAGTCGCCAATTTCCATCAGGTAGGTATATATTACAGACAGTTACCTTTACAGGAACTGTTATTCGAGCTGCAACAACTTGTAGTGCTGAGTTTACACATAAAGGCTCAAAACAGACATCCTCACGTAAAATTATCGCAACTCCTCCATGTGCTCGCTCGACAGCTGCAACATCTTTTCTCAAGATGTTATATTTTCTAAGAGAGTAAGTTTGATTTGGTCTGAGATGGCTCTCTTGAATACATAAGCACATTGGATCATGATTTTGTAAAAGCAGCCTAAGCTCACAGTACCGTTGGACAATTCCATTGCAGTTCCACTGTATGATTGATTCCATTGCAATTTTAAGAGTTTAAATGTATGTAAATAAAATACTTTCACAACAAATAAATAAAATAAATAGTATGTAGGGATGGACGGTACATAATAAATAAAAATAAATAGTTTTTTTTTTTTAAATAGAGTTGATATAAGTGATATAGCATCACTCACGGGGCAGTCCTTTTAGGCCTGCCCCGTTTTTTTGTTGGATTTGAGTTGGGGTCCAGAGCAGATGAATCATCATCTGTAGTGGAGTCCCCTGGTTTTTTTCTTTTTTCGGACGCTGCCGATAAATTTGTAGAGACAGAATCAGATCTATCTCTACGGAAGATTAGCCCTGATGATGGGGCTTTAAAATGGTCGCACTTAGATGTAGAACATGAGATTACGTTTCTAACTGCAGTTTCGATATGAGGAATTATTGTTGATATGATCTGCTGAATGTTCATTTCTGATGACTTTTGGACGGCAGCAGAATAGGACGTAGTAGGTTTTGGAGTGGTTATATTTACTTTTCTTTTTGCTTCTGCATATGTTATGTTTTCCATTACCTTTACTTTCTGTATTGCTGCTTCAGCTTTTAGTTTTGGGCAATTCATATAAGCTGCTGAATGTGGACCTTCGCAATTTACGCATTTTTTGGGCTCCGGGCAAGGACCTTCATGTGGAGGATTACCACATGGACATATTTTTTCCTTCTGACAGTTTCCAGCTGTGTGACCTAAAGCTTGACAGTTGAAACACCTGGTAGGTGGTGGAATATAAGGCCTTACATTTAATTTATGGAACGCAACGCTGATTTCCTTTGGTAAGACAGTTTTCCTAAATGTCAGCACGTGATTTGGAGTTTCAACCAGTTCTCCATTTCTTTTACTCTTTAGCCTTCTTACGTGTATGACACCATCACCTTTCAGTTCATCCAATATCTCCTCAATCGAGCAGTTGAGCAAGTCTCTGCAAAAAATCACGCCTTTTCGGGTATTGAGGGACTGGTGTGCCTCAATACTAACATCAAATTCTCCAAACTTTTTTACCTGGAATAGTCGCATAGTCTGCTGTGTAGATTTAGTTTCAACAAGGAGACCTTCTCGAACCTTTCTCACTAACTTTACTTCACCAACAATTCCATATAATGTCTTTGATATAACAAAAGGGCTCACTTTATCAAAATTATCGCTTTCTCTTTTAACAAGCAGAAACCGGGGGCAATCGCCCACCGTCCTCACGCCTGCTGAAGGACTGGAAAGTGCTCCCCCAGCACTACCCGTTTTTTGGAGGGCGGGCGCCTCCTGGATGTTTTGGTTTTGAGTAGGCTTCATCTTATTCCCACGAGTAGGCTCTGATATGGAGGTCGACTATGAAAGAGCAGGCTTATCATAGCAAGGCTAGTTTCAACCGGAGGTCGCCCGGTATCCGGAGGCAGCCGTTTGGAACACACTAACGCAGTGCCATTCATCCCCTCAGCACGGCAAACACCTTGGGATTGCGGATTTTTTTTTTGAGGTTTACTCCTCTAGATCCGCCGTGTTCTGTTAAGAGCAGGGACAGCTCTAGCAGCATGTGGTTCTTCACCACGCACGGACGGTCTTGCAGGTGCAGAAGCTGATGGACTATAAGTCTGTATTACGCTATACACCTACCTGGGCAGCTTTTGCCTCGCGGAGGCTACTCACAGGCCCTTGTCCCCAAGAGAAGTTATAATCAGATATCCAACATGGTTGACAAACAGTCATACACCACAGCTCCTAAGAAATGAGACTTCCGTGTACGGACACGCTCATTGCGGCAACGTGGGGAAAGCTCAAATACTCCGCTAATCGTTTTCACAAAACCTATGTCTTTTTGATGTCATTGCGGTACATGGAAAATTGTACTTGAAGAAGGCGTGGAAAGTATAGAGTTAATCTACTTGACGCCATTGCCATTGCTGGTAGTTTTGAGAGCTGCTTGTATTCCGGATGATTGACGGGTCGTCCTCCTCCTGTAGGTTATTTTGTTAGATTTGTCACCATTTTGCACTCTAAAATTGCATTGACAATTTTTTTTTTGTCGAAAACCAAGATATGCAAAAGGTACAAGAGACGCAACAAGTGCATTTTAAGTTGTTCTACTAAATGAGGCTCGCAAATTCATGAAATCGTAATCGAAAAATTAGAAGAATACCCGAATAATAGTTCAAAAGTTAATACCGCCGTCTGAAAAGACTGATGTAAACCTAATATCAGTCGACTCCTTCATCGACAAACTTTCATAAAAATCAGACCAGTTGTATACAAAATTTGACAAACATCATTTATGATTATACTATATTTTTAAAAAAAGACCTATCTTGACGCAGTTTTCTTATTAAACTAAAGCTCACCCTCCACCATCCAGTTTACCCAACTCCATCCAACGTGACGAATCTTTGTGGGACACAAACATTGCATGAAAGGAACAGCTTCAAATCGAAGCTAGAATCAACTGAATAAAACCAGTTAGAAGTGCATCTATCTAATCTACTAGATATTTAAACGCTTTTTCAGTGCGCTGGTGATGTATCTGTTGGTAGTTCTATCAGACGCCACAGCAATTCAATTGAGAATCCCGCCATTGAAATGCCACGCGAGTTACGATAATCTGATGGCGAACTCGTGCATCGTGCTTGATCAATAGAAGGATTTTCAATGGTACCATCCTGTAGCTGGATACGTACGCATTGAAATAAGACAGCTCAACGTGCTATCTATTACCAGAATCGACCACTACGAAAGTGAAAAGGGCAAGCTGTCTATTGGAATTGTATGCCAGTTGTCGAATAAAAAGTTTTCCCACAAAAATTGGTGTACCCATTTTATGCGTCCATGTTTAAAATACCCCTTTGAACAACTTGCACCAATAAAACCGGACTTCACAATTATTTTGGGGAAATTTGATAATATGATTAGACTACTCCTAGTTTGCACATATTACACAGTTTTACCACTCGCCAAAACAGTTTTTTATTTCGATAACTATGTCAGGATCTTCAATTTCACATTTGAGAACAGACAGACGGATATCAAGTCTAGAAACAGATATCAGCTTGAAGGAAACTTCTACAAACGGAGGTTTTGGCCCTGAAAATAACTCAAACTTAGAACATATGTATATTAAACTTCCATCAGCATTTGTTCATATTAGAACTTGATTGTTCTTTAAAAGCACACAGTTCACAACTATGGCATGTCTCTCCAAAATCCGCGCACTATCGAACAGTTGATTTACTATTTCATGGCTTGCAACAATTGCACATAAAAAATACAGTCAAGTAGGTTGACTCCGCGCTTCATACGTTACGATGTTATCAGATCTTAGAGGATTTTGCTCAGCATAAGACAGCATCATAGACCTTATATCCTGGATAGAGAATAGTTGCCACGCTTTAGTTTGTTTTCCCAGAGGCCCAGCATAGTCGAGTTGATAAAAAAGCACAAAACAGCTGTCGTTGATTGACTTAATTTAGTCGAATGGACGAAATCAGCATGTATAAGTTAGATTTTCTGAGGAAAAAGATAATGTCAAACATGAATAACAAGGAAATTGAACGGATCAAGTCCGCCAGACATTATTTTCCTGCCCTACCCGTAGAAACCGTCCATCTGGCAACGTCGCCTCTCGCCAATACCGCATTCTCGATGCGTCAGACGCGCCAGCGCAACACAAGTTTTAAGGCCACAAGTAAGCGAAAATGTATGATGTATGAAATACGTCTAAGGTACGCAGAATTGTCGAGGTTGGAAGTATATTCATATACTAACATCCTAAAATAGCGATATAAACAACACACCACCACCCAACTTTATTTTTTTCATTTCTGGCACTTTCCTCTGCCGCCACTGGACCGATTTGCAAAAACTACAGAACTCGTTCGTCCTTGGCGTCGTAGTAACATAAGAATTTCATCTGAATCCGATCAGTATCTTCCAAGTTATAGACGGGACGAGGATTTACGGACAGCCCGACTGAGAAATCAGTGACATGGTTTTTCGTGATGTACAGGATGTTTCTTAATGATATGCGAATATTTAAGGGTGTGAATCTACATGAAAAATTAATGTTAGTTTGCTTTATAAACTATGGTCCAAAAGTTTTTCCTTACAAAAAGTCGGGATGTTGAAGTTATAGGAAAAAAATGGTAACTAATTAATATTTTAAGAACCGCTTCAGATATTTCACTGATATTCAGTATGTAGTGAAAGTTGATAAAGTTGCATATTTGTCCATACAAAAATAAGTTTTAGCTTTAACACTGGCGTATTGACTTCGATATTTTTTAAGAAAAAAATTTTACGCCAATGATTTTTTGCCAAATAAAAATTAGTTTTGAATTCCCCGTTCAATTTAAAACAATTGATTTCTCTTGGATTATTTTCCTTCGATGCGCCATTTTGGAGCAAAAAAATAAAAACCGTTCTATTGTATAACTCTATTGTATAAATTGAAAGAATTAAACACATTAGGGGTAATGAACAACATCTGACAACATAAACATGACATTAAAACCAACGAAATGATTACAGAAATTGTTGAAAATGGCCCGCTTCACTTAGTATGCATGATTCCGCCCTCCTTCTCATGGAATTTCGCACTCGTTGAAATATCCTTGGAGTGTTTTTTATTCTATCACAAGCAGCAACTATTCTTTCTCTTAATTCCTTTACAGTATTAATAGTACTTGTGTAAACTAGTGTCTTAAGATAGCCCCACAAAAAGGAATCTAAACTGTTCAGGTCTGGGGACCTTGGTGGCCATTCTTGGGGCCCACTGCGGCCAATCCAACGATTTGGATAAACATTTTGTAAATAATTACGAACCGCTACACTGAAATGCGCTGGTGAACCATCACCTATATACCAGATATTGTTTCTTATTAGTAACGGAACATCATCAAGCAGCAAAGGCAACTGTTGTTGAAGAAAATTGAGGTAAGTCTGTCCGTCAAGTCGTCCTGGCAAGAAGAATGGGCCAATAAAGTGGTTGCCAATAATTCCTGCCCATACGTTAATCGAAAATTGGTGTCGGCAATGGGTCTTGGTTACGGCATAGGGATTTTCTGCTGCCCCCAAATGATTATTGTGAAAATTCTGAATGGCGAAATAAATTAGCTTCGTCCGTGAACAAAATCGTTGATACAAATTGCGGATTTTGTGTACTTTTTTGAAGATACCACCGACAAAAGGTCACACGCGTTAAAAAACAATGGGAAGTAATGCCTGTACTCTTAAAATATGGTGTGGATATAACAAAAGAGCCACTAAAATTCTCCAAACAATTTGATGGCAAATATTTAAGTGTCTAGCGATCTTCCTCGTACTCGTTTCAGGATGTTCATCGAACTTGTGTTCTCACACTTAGAGGTCTACCTTCAGATATTTCTTTTCGGACAGAACCACTTTCAACAAGACGACGATGAATATTAGAAAAGGTTCAACTATCTGGCAAAGCACGATCGGGATATCTCTGGTGATAAATCCCTCTGGCGTGATCACCATTACCGTCGGCAAGGCCGTATACGTAATACATTTCGGCCATTTCTACATTTGAATAATTCACCATTATTAACAAGATTGTAAAAACTAAATAATGAAATATGTCACAGCGAACAGATTTGAATAACAGAGACTTGTCAGATGTCAAAAGTCAGTGACCATAGGTGTATTTTTTAATTCACCGGTTGAGCAACCAGTGCCACCGGTGGACCAGACATCCGTCCTTTTAATTCA